CCTCTTATTTTCTGGATGTGTTCATTGAGTAGACCTAACACTGCTGAAGCTCACTGACACATTTAAGTTGTATCTGATCATTAGTTATAAAAGATTTATAGTACAGTGAATATAATATATTTATTCCTACTACTGATATTAGGAATATTGTAAAATACTGGTATTATACAGTCTATCTGCCATTTATATATAAACATATTTAATATTATTTTAATTAAGCTTAATTCCAGCAATATGTTTAATCACAGTAATTGTTAATACAAAAAGAATATTGTAAAGTTAGTTGAATCCAATTTTGTGAAAGATAACAATGAAATAATTAACCTTCTAAACATAGTATAACCTTCAGAAGATTTGTGATATTTTCTCAGAAACTTTACTAACCCTGAGATTGAGTAGTATATGTGTTTCATATTTAATTAGATATAAAGTGGCGCAGTAATGCTAATATAGAAGTAGATGCATCATGATAGTACATACTTTTAAGTAAAAATTATTCCGACATAGTATGCCTAAAGACTCATGATAATATACCAGCAACTTCAATTATTTAGAAAATTATCAAGAAATTTAATCTTTGCTGTCAAAATTAATACAACAATCAATGGAATATTGACCTGATGGAAGCTACAAGTTAAGTAACATGGGATTAATGTTCTTTTGCCTATTGAATGCTTAAACAAAATCAAGAAATGAATAATGAATAAATATTTATATTGTTACTATTTTTCTTTGAGAATTCTTTCTTTTAAAGAAATTACATAGCACTTTAGCTGAGTTATTAGGTAATTTGTAATGAAAATATTGGGATCAAAAGGAAACAGGAAGACTTTGTACTTGAGTGTAGCAATGCAGAAATGTAAATGCAGAATGTAGGAAAGATGCAAGCTGTAATATATAAAATTTAAGGAACAAGATGTGCAAAAGGGAGAACTTTTCTCAAGTTGGAAGGAATTCTTTGAGGAGGAGAAAAGGCTTGTTCTGGTGAGAGGTTAATTTTGGAAGTAAGCTGAAAAGGTATAGCAGTTGTGTTGGTCAAACTTCCTGAGAAAAATGTAATTGAATGCAAATTGTATAATACAAATGTGCAAATTGTATTTTTTTTTATACATCCTATACCTTTGCTACTGTAATAAGATTGTCCCAGAATGTTCTCCAAGATAATTTTTTATTCTTAGGGGAAAAATGGTCTTTAAGATGTAGGCTTATTCACTACTTGGTGCTCTTTTTCTATTGAATTATTTTAAGACTTGCTCAATGAGTTGGAAAAAAAATTCCAGATGTTAAAATATCCTTGTTGTGGAAGGCTTAACAATAGTGCTGATATGAAGGTCAAGACCACGGTGCATTTTTCCCCCCAAATAAACAAAACACTTTTTAACATGAAGTGTTTCGCTTGCTGGTAAACAAAAACTTACCAAAACTAATTTGACTACTACATACAATGTAGGCTTGACCATGATCTTGGCTCACAGACTGCTTAATAATATTCATTATTTTAAATTAAAGTTGAAGAATTGCAGACTCTTGCTCAAATTAAGATTGGTTGTGTTGCCGGAATCTAGTAATTACTTTAATTGATCACCAGATAGTTTCCTTGATCACCAATTACATCCAATTACTGATTATGTTTCAAGACGTGAAGAAATGTCCAAACTGATTATGTAATAATGTTTTCATATATAATCAATCCTAAATAGCTTTTCCCCCCATTCTCAATTGTATTTTATAAAAAAAGAGAAGGTTGTAAGCCTACAGATACAAAAGGTGATCCATAAACAATAAAGTTCTGATTTCATTTAATTAGCAAGGGAAGTATTTAGGAAGCTTAATGGAGATTGCTCTGCCGAAATTACTTCAACAGACCTGCTTTTCATTTTCTTGGTAAAAAATATATGTAAGGGGGAGACAGCTGTCCGGGTTTAAAATGGACTGTAAAGGTATGAGTCTGTTAGATGTACATATAAACCTGACTGCAGCAAGGTAAATTTTTACACTGTTTGAAATTCTACAAGATCCATAAAATATTTTAAAATGTCATAGAACCTTTGAGCAAGAGTTCTTTTAAAAATTATTGTAGTTAATAAATTGAGTGACATTAACAGTCTCATTGGGACTTTAATGTAATTAACTTGTTTTTAGCTTGCATTCAATGGTCTACTCTATAAAATTAAATTTCCAAACACAATCAAACTCCTAATACTTAAAAAACAAACAAAATACCCCACTTGTTAGGCTACTACTGTTAAACCTTTGATTTGCTTATTGTGATTTACATCAACAATTTCCAATCTTTTCCTTTTGAGGACTGTAATATGATCTAGGATTAACAGCATGGGTCTGTGGACAACATGACATGCATGATTCTCTCTGAGCAATATTGGGACCTAAACATAGGATTGAAAAAACTAAGTAGCTTACAGGATCTCACAGGGTTTTTTTTGGCATTCTTACCCAAAATCTCATAAGATATTGGTTGGAACCCCCAAACCTAGGGACATTTAATAATCTCATGATATTTTTGCTCTTTTATTATTATTTTTGGATGCCTATATTAGAGGCTAACTGCGTTGCCTTTGTGGATCACTAGTGGTCCCTGAACTAAGTGTGCCACCATTGGTCTTTTAAACAAAACTTTCTTTTTGTATAACTCTAATTGATAGTTGAAGCACTTTCTTCACCAGCATGGCTAACTACTCAAGCAAAGAGATTTCCATATTAAAATAAATTAAAATAGATGATAGATAGCTAGATAGCTAGCTAGCTAGATAAAAATAAACTAAGTAAATGGGGATCTATAGTGTAATATTAGTATCCTCACAATATTAGTGGAAATCTTAAGGCAGAGGAATATGGATTAAATTAATTAATTAGTTCCCTGGACAGGAACTAAAGATGCATTGCCCTCAATCCAAAGAATATTGGGGAAAAAAGGAACTGACTTGTACTGTTGCTGCCAGTATCTTTCCAGTATCTCAAGCAGATATTTTTTTTAATCACTTACTGTCTAATCATTTTGCCCATAAATCCCAGGGCTAAGCAAGATTTAGTGTTAGGGCTATTGGCACACTAGATTTGTTGCTGACCATAGCAAACTTTCAGATAATTCCAGTAGAGATTATTCCCAAATGTTATATTTCCAAACACATTTTTATTAGCAGGTAGGGAAGTTTTCTAATTAAACTATATAATGTTTGCACCATAATTACCATTTTCATGGGTCATAAGTAATGTTTTAGGGACTGAATTAAATATTGATAGTTATGCATTGGACAATATTCATGGTTGAAAGTCAATGGTAGGTAGTTATATGGTTGAGGAAAAACAACTTCTATGTTGTGACCGGTCATGTGATCAATCTGTTTATGGAATTTGAAGAAAAAAAGTTTGATACAGCTATAGGTAAGGATCTAATGGTATTACTCAAATGTTAGAACATTTTCAAGTTTAAGTGAAAGGAAAAGTCCCTCAAATCAAGAATGAGGTTTGATGACTTCATGGACACATCCATGTAGCTGTAGTTTGTAGTTGCAATTTACTATTGTCAACTTCTGTATTGATTGGTTGGTTGTTTTTTTTCAACTATTACTGTGGATTTTCTTGATGATCTCTCAAGCAAAGAACAGATAACATTTGTGCCCTATCTATTAGAGCTGGCTTCCTTCCATCTCTTTATAGAATAAAGACAATATAACTTCAAAATGCAGGGATTAAGTTCATAAATAATCTCAGTGTGAAAGGGACAGCCAGTCTGATGCCTGCTTTGTTTAGTTGCTGTATTCATTAGGAGGTTTTTTGCAATATGGAAGTTGATGTAGTTAATTATACTGAAAATTACTGATTATTTTGATTTTATCTTTTTTTGTATTGTATTGTAGTACTGCAACCTGGAAGTGAGATTACATACACATTCTAGTAAATAAATAATCACAATGGAAACATTAGTAAATTTCTTTTAAAGAGTAATAAAGTAAATGCTCTAAATCATGCCATTCATTAAATTGCAGAATTGTAGAGAATGCCTTATTTTATCACTATTGAAAACTAAAGTGCATAGTATTTCAAAAATAGTTTCAAAACTTTTAAGTTTCAAAACTATTTACAGTGGTTTGACTTTGAGATTTAATTCAAAATCAAGTGAACCAATGGCTGCAATTCTGTGATTCACTTGAGAGCAAATAATTTCAATTGCCAACATTTTGATAATTTGTACATGAAAAACTTTGTTGGAATAATTTGCTCTGATTGTAATGATTGCATTCATTTGACTGGCGAAGTGATTTGCAGAGTCATACTTCAGTCAGCAGAGGTAAAGGAAAAAATACTGAAACTATTATGAACTATTATACTACTTCTTGATTATATGTTTAGTCAAAATTGCTGTCATAGGGTTGAACATGTTTTTTTCCCCCTGCAAACTTTTTATAACAAGACTTTAGTATATTGATGGATACATGCACTTTGAAAGATCATACTTAATGTATCACAGATTTATTGCTGTTAAAATAATCTTTCAATTAGGTTTTTAGTCTTATTTTGAGATCAGTTTGTTTGGTTTTAGCAAGGGAAAATCACTATATAATATTGGATTCTTGATACTTTAAGCACTCATATACTATGTGGATGTATGTAAACTGTAGAATTTGTTTTGCACAAGACAAAGTGGGTGAAATAGAGCACATACAATTTTGCTTTGTTTGATTTGAATCAAATCACACCCTGTTCTTAACTCAGATTTTTTTTTAATCTGCAATATAAGGATACAAACACTTGCCTGCTTCATCAGATTCTGTAACAATTTCTGAAATAATCTCTGTGACACACTTTCTTGGTATCATTCTCCATTACTAGTAAAATTTAACCAAGATTTTTTTTAAAAAAACTGTTTGCTTTTTTTCACTGTTACATTTTGACACTTTTCCTTTCTTGCACATGCAAAATATAATAAAATGCTTTATTTTAAGAATTACACATGCATTTCATCTTTTTTCTTTATGCAGGCCTTTGGTTTTATGACTCGGGTAGCTCTTCAGGCTGAAAAGATGAATCATCATCCTGAGTGGTTTAATGTGTACAACAAGGTAATGACCTAATATTAATGAACAAATAGTTTCTCTTTTCATTGGTGAATACCAGGCTCCAATTATATTTTTAACCCCCCATAGATTAAAAATCAGTCTCATTCTGTTTGTTGTAATCTTTTTCAAATTATGTCACTTTCATTCCCCCCATTTTTGCAATGATTGCTCGGTTCTATATTCATCTTCCCTCATATAGCTGGGGTTGGCTTATTGAAATAATAGAAAATATCCATAAATTCTGTTTTATCAAACTTGAAAGTATGATAATCCTATATTCCAGGCAGTGGCAACTTCATTATCTCAATACCTTTGTCATAGTGCAGAAAGAAACATAACACAGAAGCTCCACCCATTTGTGTGGTTGTGTGATGTAGTGACACATGCAAGAAATGAGCAGGGCTTACATTGTGACATAACACTGCTTATGTCACTCTGCCTCCCCCATCTCCCTTATGTTCCCTCCAGAAGTCGTTTATTTCGATTATGCCTAACTTTTGTGGGCCATTCTTGACCTTTGAAATGTACACCAGGGCCTCACATCAGAAAGTAGTGGGCAAAAAAAATAATTTTATTTACAATCATATTAAATTAAATTAGAGTTATTATGATTATGCCCCAAATGGTATTTAATTATTCCCCTTCTGCCATATATACATTTTAATTTGGTAGCAAATTTTTGAGATCTTTAGGAACTGATATTAGGTATTTGTGATCCCTGTTGTTCAAACTTTGCAAGCTACTAGCAGCAGCAGATTTTTACTGGCTCTCCAGATTGATTAGCTTTTTCTCCTGTCTTCAGGAGCAGGCCCTTTTAAAACTAAAGAAAAATAATAGTATTAGTTATTTCTGCTTTCTGATATTGCAAGTTAATATTCCAAATTACAAAGCCAAGAAATATTTTTGAGAATTCTAGATTTCTTGGTGTAGTTTCAAAATATATATTCAGATTAAGTAATAAAATAACATTTCTGAATGAGTATATTGGTCTCTGAGGAATCAACCCTAAGTTAAATTAAGGATCTTGAAATTTTCATATGGATAGACTCACAATTAGAATATTGTCAATTTTATTAACAGTTCTCATTTCTTAATGAGAAATTCTTGCTTTTAAATCTGTACTTAACATAATTTTAAACAAGATATTTTTGTGGCAACATGGGCAGACAGGAGTTTTGATAACAATTTCTATTCTAACGTGTGTGTATTTCTAGATACTCCTGATACAATTTTAATTTCTGAGAATTAAATATCTAGACTTAATATTTTTCTCCTCCCCCAGTAGAATGATGACACAAAGAAATTTAGCAAAGCAGAACATAGTGTTCTGCTGGAGATATATGAATAATCCCTTGGATGAAACAACAGTTGGTCTGCAAAGTATTGTCAGGCTCTTCACGTTTATTTTCAACTGAATAGTTTCTCGCTTGCAATTGGTTATAATCCAATATTCTTGTGCAGTGAATATGTGCAAGTACTTTTTAAAGAAAACACAAGATCAATTGGACAGTATCCACTGTTGATCTTCTGAAGCCCAAAGAAAGAAATCGGGTCCTTGGTAATATGAATTCTGCCACTTGTGGGTTTGATCTGTGGTCCTCCTGGCTTTTTTGGATGGGAGGGGAGGGGGCATGAGCAGCAGGCTCCAGGGTTTAGACTTAATGCCACTTGCCTTGAAAGAGGCAATAGTCTGTCTTCTGAAGGGGCCTTCACTAGGTCTGGCTATCTTTCACAATGTTCACCAACTTTCCAACCTGTCCTTCCTTGTAAAAGTGGGTTAGAAAGTGACGGCAAATCAGAGATCCTAAATAGTACAGGATTTCAGTCAGAATTCGGGACAAAACAGCCTTGGTCACCTGTTCTCAGTGACTTTTGCTGTGACCCTCAGTGGCATTCATTGCCATCAACCATGGTACCCTTTGAGACTGTCTGTGGGGATTGGTAATCTGGAACAATTTTATGCTAATTCTTCTCCCTCCCAAGTGGCCAATTCCAACTGGCATTATGGGGAGGTAGCCCTTTGCAAATTCCAATGTGGAGAGTCCCAGAACTCTCTCCCCTGTTATTGGATACAGAATATACATATACCATGGGTCATTTATCACTTTGAACTGAGGCATCATCAATATGTTGCTGATACCCAGTTATGCATTGCCAGCCAAAAATGTCATAGAAGTCTTTAAGTGGTGCCTGGATGCTGTGACAATTGGGTAGAATAACCCTAGGTTAAATTCTACCAAGGTAGAGTTGTTAGTTATCAATAGATACTTTGGCAACATTGGCTAGGCTGTTCATACTCCCCATCCTTCACACCAAGAGTTGGTTTGTAACCTTGGATTTCTCCTGAAGCTGTGGTCAGGGGAATTTTCTTCCAGCTTTGGCTAGCATACCAATTGCATCTCTACTTGGAGTGAGATGCCTGGCAACAGTAACTCATGCTGATCACTAATTACCTGGACTATTGTAATACATTCAACATGGTTCTACATTTGGAGCTGACTTGGAGACTACAGCTATATCAAATCTCGGTAGCGTGCCACTTTATTGAATGCTTTCACCCTGAGAGATATGGAGACCGCAAGCCTGATTTTTTTTGTAAATAGTTTAAGATAGCCGTCCTCTGATATGAATTTGACTCCTAAGTAGCTTCAATTATTTAGTACCTTTGATGTTTGATTATTGATAATTTTAACTTTTATATTGTATGTTGTCTAGTTATACCCCAGAGTCTATTACGTTTGGGGCAGGCTACAGATGACGTAAATAAATAAATGGACTTTTTAGAGAAGCTTTTTACAAACATGTTTTGTGGTAGAACTGTCTCCAAGTTCTGTACCTGACTGCTGAGATATATAAAAAAAGATCAACACCATTCCAGTTTTCGAACAGCACACAGGTGCTTTTTAAACTAAATATACAAATTAAGATGTATTTGAAATTTTCAAACTAAATCTAGTCTGCAAGGAAATACATTAAATTATGAATGGTTCTGTTCTTTTTTAAAAATGTATTTACTTGTAATTTTTTTTATGTGTGATGAACTGTTCATCTTTCTTCTTTCTTGTTCAAAGGTCCAGATAACGCTCATTTCCCATGACTGTGGTGGCCTGACAAAGCGAGATGTCAAGCTGGCTCAATTTATTGACAAAGCTGCTGCGTCTTGTCTAACAACTGGGTGCTAAAGTAATAATTAAAAAAAAAATCTACAATGTGTTTATTTAGTCTTCCCTCTTAAAAAAGTTAATCCTCAAATTTCCCCATTGTTGTAGAAGCTTTTGCATAGATACATAAAGTTTTTTTTATCAAGTAGGTAAAATGCTAGAATTGCTGCATTAAAAAGTTGATTGTCTATTCTATGTATCGGTGACGATTCTCCTGTGGTCATCTGCCTTCAGTAACACTGACCATTTGGGCAGGAATTCCTCCAAAGAAGAATGCTCAAAGTACCAGTGATTTGGGCTTATTAGTAGGTCAGGCTTGCATCTTATGTACCCTGTGCTGTATATTGTATTTTAGATTCTATAGACAATGACAGAGACACAGTTCCATTAGAACACTAGAGCCTGAATTTTTTCTCAATAATTAATGGGAGGAGGCTCCAGTGACCCTATATTAATATACCGAGGAATATAACTGAGAGAAAAATCTCCCTTGCTGTGGGTGTACAGATGCACTTTCCACTGGCTTAAACTTTCAAGTATTCTCTGTGTGACAAAAATCATGTAATATTCTTGGAAATCTTGGTCAGCATAATACAATAATCACAATGATTGTAAAAAAACTCTGGTGATTCTTTATATTGAGCTAAGCATATTTGTCATATTGATTCCATATGCTTTCAACTTTAGAGTAGATCCAAGGGGGATTCCCACTCTCCTGTTTCCTAAGGCACAGATCTGGCTCTTTCTAGACCAGCGGTTCTCAACCTATGGGTCGCGACCCCATTTGGGGTCGATCGACCATTTCACGGGGGTCGCCAAGCAAGGCTGTCCGCCATTTTTTCCCCTTTTCCGGTGGGTGCCTTACCCCCCTTGAGCTGGGCCAGCTGGTGGTTGGCCTGCTCTGTCTCTGCCGCTTGCCTGCTACGCCTCGGCCGTAGACTATTTTTCAAGTTTATTGTAGGCACACACATTTATAATTAAAACTAAACAAATCTTATTTATTATGGCCAAATAACAGGGAGGTATCATTTCCTTGTTATGTTTATTTAAGCCAAAATTCAACTATTAAAAAGACAGTTTAGAGCCAAAAATTGATAATGGTAAAGGAGATTCTTAACCTCTCTGATTCAATAAATGCCATTTCTTTCTCCTACATGTGTCCATCCGGAGGAATTCACTTGGGGCATTTGTTTGAAGAAGTTACATTGATTTTTTTCAGTGGCATCAGAAGAGAATATGGAAAGAAAAATGATATTGTTCAGTCTCATAACCTGTGTATTTTGCTCTACTTTGGATGAAAAGTACTATGAAAAAATGCAGCACTTTTCAATGAACCAAACCTTTTAGTTCGATGTAGTTAGCCTTGCACTAATGGAAATTATCTGGGCTATCACTTTTCCCCCAATTATTTGTTCACCTGCATGCATTCTAAGTCCAATTTTAATAGGGAAGAATATTGCTAGCTATTTACCAATTTTGCAGTGGAAAAAGCATATGCATTTATTCAGGAGAATGTTGTTTGGGGAAAACAGTCACATGTACAGGAGGGGTGCACATTGGCAGGTGGCAGGAAAAATAGTTTGATGAAAAATAATAAGGGGAAAAGTTATATTAGCTTTAGGTAGTCAAGCCCTAAACAATTACGACTGGATGGGAAAAAGTAATTTAATACTGGTAAGAGCACAACTAGGGATTCAAACAAGATTCTTCCATAAAATGCTCTGAAAAGGCTAGGCATGAATCCACGATGGACAGAATCTGAGGCTCAACAGACTTAGGATGGTACAACACTTGCAAGACTTGAGTTAGCACAAAAGACCTGATGTAAAAATCACAAATTCTTTGAAAGAGCAGATTAGCATACCTTGTTCTCAAGTCTTTGCCTCACTTTTGCTTTACCTTAGAGCAGGGCTTTTCAACCTTTTCACCCATTGTACCACTTTTAGGATATGGCAACATCCGAGTACCACCAGTTGCCTAACAAAGTGTCAAAAACTTGATGACAAAAAAAAAAAGGAAAACAGTGATGAAGTACAGATAGTCCTCGACTTACAACAGTTCGCTTAGTGACTGTTTGAAGTTACAATGGCACTGAAAAAAGTGCCCCCCAAGCCACAGCCGAGCAAGACACCTGCCTGCCCACCCGGCGGCGCTCTTCCTCCTGTCCGAGGTTTTCATTGTTGTGAGCGTTTCTGTTGAGGATTGGCAGTGGAGGTGGGGTGGGGGGGGTGTTTGGTTTTTATTCCACCCGTCTGCTGGGTGGCTGCAGCAGGTTTTGGTCACTTCACATGACTCTGGGACACTGTGACCGTCATAAATATGAATCAGTTGCATAGCATCTGAATGCAAATCACAAGACCCTGGAGATGCTGCAACATTCCAGCTGATTGGCGCTTCTTCAGGGCTCAGCAGAAGCACCGGAATCAGCGCCGAGCTCCAGCTGGAGCCTGGCACTGATCCTGGTGCTTCCACTGAGCCCTGACAGCCCCGAAGAAGCGCCAATCAGCTGGAAAGCGGCACTGATCCTGGCGCTTCCGCTGAGCCCTGACAGCCCTGCAGCTCCAGCCTTCTCTTGCTCAGGCTTGTGCGGTGCTGCCACCAGTTCAGCTCATTCCCCTCCCCCGCTACCACTTTTCTAGGATGGTCTCGTACTACCTGCCAGGTGCCAATGTACCACAGGTGGTACCCGTACCACTGGTTGAAAAGCCCTGCCTTAGAGGAGAGAAATTCACCCACCTTCTCCAGAAAGCTGATTCTGACTAGTCCCTGTCTCTGAAAGATTGCAATTTTGAATCAAAGTTTTAGGAGTATTGACTCCCTAGAGATATCCGGATAGTAGTTTGGCACGTTATCTTACCCGCAGCCTAGAAATAGATAACTGCTCTTAGTACAGGTCTCAGATTTCTCAGGGCTGAGCTGAGAACCTGTTGGACAAGCCAAGGCAAGTTTCTTTGCTCTTGAGACTTGGATTTTGCAGTCAATATGAATTCTTACACCAGTCTGGTCAGACATCTAGGATATGTATATTGACTGGTTTCAGGCTTCCCTGCCTGGCTTGTGTTCAGCCTAGATTGGGAAAATCTGGATGAATGTAGGGGAGAAAAGGGCCTGCCGTGAGTGAGTGAGTGAGTGAGTGAGAGTGAGTGAGTGAGTGAATATTTGCCCATTCACTATATTACATTGTCTATGCCATATTAGGGCAATATATTCATGAGATCACATTGAATAACAAAATAGCTTGTATGTGCTGAGTTCTCAAGCACTCTTTGACAAGTAAGAAAGTTTGCAGAAAACAAATTGTTGAGTCTTGAAGCAATAGGTTGCTATTTAATTACAGATTTAATAGAATAAGTTCTCAGGCAAAATATATAGGTTCCTTGATAAATATAAAAACTGAGCAGTTTTTGCATATTTTTCATTTCTGTTGACAAAGTTAAGTATATTGTTGGTAGCAGGTCAGAAATGGAAATCAAACTGGATAATTTAAGGTAGAATCTGGAGAGGTCACAACCTTAAAAGTAAAGTTGAAGCTCCTGATCCTATACAATCTTCATCCAGAGATGGGCCCACTGTTATTGGCTGAATTTGATATTGCCCAATTCATGTAATTTACATGCTTACTTTGTTTAATTTGCTATATTTTAATTTGAATAAACAATTAATATTACTCTTTCTAAACTCTTGTCTCCGATTTCTGATTCTGCTAATTCCATATGGTGCCTATTTTCCGTAATGATAAAAATCTGCGAAAGTATTTTGATTGACATTTCCAAGTGGTCACCAATACAAATGACACATGGACCATGTTTTAATGGGTTCTATAAGCACCTATTGTTTTAGCTGAAAGACTGTTTTTGGTGAAAAATTGCACACTTCTGCACATGCTGCCCTAGAAATAAAACCCACTGTAGTCAGAACATGATGTTAAAGGTATACTGGAGAATAATTCAACATGCAAGCTTCTTTACGGATTTTGATGTATTCAACATAAAGGTCTTGAAAATAGATTTTAGCTAAGCATCCTTCAGTAACTGAGAACTCAGTTTCTACCCAGAAATCCTTTTCAGAACAATGCACTGAATCTGCAAAGGTCAGACTGAAACCTACCCTTGCAGGAATGGATGAGTAATTAAATATTAGTGCTTACATACATGCCCCCCCTCCCACTTTTAGCCCTTCAGTATCCAAGCCAAGACCCGGATAAAAGCTTTAGATTTATTCTTTTGGAAAGGTGTGTGTTAACATTGCACTCTTTAAGAAATCAAGTACTTCAAATAATTTGTTTAAAACACTTGTCAAAGATATTTGTGTGGATTTTAATGTGTCTCAACTTCATTTTAAATGTGGAAAAATCATGTCAATATTGAAATTAAAAATCAAATAAACTTTTTAATTTCTTAATACTTTTTATTCAAATGATAAAAGATTTTTTAAAGATGGTAATGGAAGGATGACTTCCAAGGTACGTTCATTGGTTGTCTTTCTGAATTAATAAAGAAATTGAACCCCCATTTAGATGACAAGTGTAGAAGTGTTATTTGAAGCTACAGAAAGGGATTGATTGCAGTTACTGCCCCCAAAGACAATATGTTGCAAAATATTTCATTAGAGGTACCAATAATTATGGCCCAGACCAGCACAATACCACTGAGAAAGAAAAACAAGAAATCCAAGAAGAAACCAGCATGGCTGCACAAAGATCTCTCTAACAAACTAAAAGACAAAAAGGACAAATACAAAATATGGAAAGGGGGGCACATAACTTATCAGCAGACAGGCAGAACATGCAAAGATGAAGTCAGGAAAGCAAAGGCTCAGAACGAACAAAGACTTACAACAGAAATCAAGGACAATAAAAAAAAGTTTCTTCCAACACATTAACAAGAAAAAAGTCAAGGAAACTATAGGCCCACTAAAGAGAAGATGACAAGGAAATTACAGATAACGGGGAGAAAGCAAAGCTGCTCAACTCATACTTTGCGTCAGTCTTCACACAAAAAGAACTATAGCCCAACACATAAAAAGAAACACTGCAAAAGACATTCTAGAAACAAAAATAAAAATGGTAAGGGAACATCTATCTAACCTTGACGAATATAAATCACCGGGACCCAACAGACTTCATC